TGGTGAAATCCGGTTTCTACTAAAAATACAAAAATTAGCTGGGCACTGTAGCAGACGCCTGAAATCCCAGCTACTCAGGAGGCTGAGGCAGGAGAATTGCTTGAATCTGGGCGGCAGAGGTTGCGGTGAGCCGATATCGCGCCGCTACATTCCAGCCTGGGCAATAAAGTGAGATTCCATCTCAAAAAAAACAACAAAACTTCATGTTTTCTTTGTGGATCTTAACAGTTTCAGTTAGTTGAGTATCTTAAGGGTTTTTGGTGTTTCTTCCTCCAAAGAGTGAATCTTCACTGGAGAACTTCTGTTTTTGTCTTTTTCTTTTTAAAAGCAAAAAGATTTTAATGTGCAAATTCGTAAGTGGTTTGAGGGTCTGGCATTGCACTCAGCCTTCAATACGTTAGAATAACTACCCATATGTGATCTATTTAGAAGCAGTGTTTGAAACCACCCATTTCACCCCATCTGCTATGTTGTAGTTGGGTTTTTTGGTTTTGTTCTTTGTTTTTTTGAGACGGAGTCTCATTCTGTCGCCAGGCTGGAGTGCAGTGGCGCGATCTCGGCTCACCACAACCTCTGCCTCTGGGTTCAAGAGATTCTCCTGCCTCAGCCTCCCGAGTAGTTGGGACTCTGTAGTCCACCACGGCACAGCTAATTTTTGTATTTTTAGTAGACACGGGGTTTCACGATGTTGGCCAGGCTGGATGGTCTCGATCTCTTGACCTAGTGATCCACCCGCCTCGACCTCTCAAAGTGCTGGGATTACAGGCTTGGGCCGCTGCTCCTGGGCTGACTTTTTTAAAACAGCCAAAATGACAGAAGAAAAATAAACTTTGTGTAGCTACAGAGGAAGGCATAATTAAATTTCAAAGCCCGGGCGGGGAAGGTTTCCGATGAAGTTGCTTCTTATTCCTTCTCTTTTTTTAAATTTATTTTTATTAATTTATTTATTTTTTTGAGACGGAGTTTCGCTCTTGTTACCCAGGCTGGAGTGCAATGGCGCGATCTCGGCTCACCGCAACCTCCACCTCCTGGGTTCAGGCAATTCTCCTGCCTCAGCCT